TGAATTTATAGACTGTTCTGAAGTTCTTGTTTGGCTGCTGCACTACTGTCAGTCTACACTGAGAACTGCAGCTTTATATGGTAGAAACTTTACTTAGACTTTGATTAAACTTTGATAAAGACTTTGATTAATAGTACTGTATGGAGAAGTCAGAACAAGCCACCCCAGGGGCTGATGAAGAAAAAAATGTCAAGTGCTGACTAGCCAGCATAATATGCAGTAAACAGGAATGAGAATTTAATCTATAATTTAAACAATGTATTAATTAATACAGAATAAGTAATGAAATCTGTGGTAAATCCAGGGAATAATCTTGTCAATCTGCTCATCTACGAGCAGCTAGAGTACCATGCCCTTGAATAACACAACGGTAACTGTATGCTAACTGATAGGAGTCTCTCTCCAATCAGATCATCAGCAGGTGCTTTTGCTTGCTGTATTTTACTAATTTCAAGATGAGAAATCTTTCTAAAATCCAATGACAAAGTGGGAAAATCAAAGGAAGCAAAAGGAGAGTGCCAAGGGGGTTACTGCCAGTCTGCAGGTGTGGTTCCAAACTGAGGTGAGACAGAAAGGGACAGGCCTGACCTTCCCTATCCACCCTGATGCCATGTCACCCCCGCCTCCCCAGGGCTGGCACTGCCAGCTGTGTGACACTCTGCTGCCCTGGGGAGTACAGCTGGCTCCTGCTGAGCCTCAACCAAGTTAGCAATGGGGAGAATAAGTGTCTGAGGGACCCAGTGTATGGCCATGGGAATGCCAGTGACACGACAGAAGCATGAAGTTTGGGTGAGGTGCTGGCAGGACTTTCCATGAATAAATCAAAGATTTTCAGGTGAAGGCAACAACTAAGCAGGCTTCAAGTGACTGTGGAATAACCCCACTGAGTCAACATGCCAGTCCAGGTCTGTCTATCCCTTTGTCAGCCCTAAGACCTCTTGAACCACAGGAGCAAATGTAGTGAGATGTGGCCATTATGACGGATGTCCAGACACAACCAAGGAAGGGTCTCATAGCCTCTAGACTGAGCTTACTGTGTCAGCAAACATGCCTAATGTTTAGTCTACGGCAGTGTACTGTGGAAGTGTTTGCTTTTTAAGGCAAAGACTGTGAAACTACAGTTTATTCACTAATTGGCTTAAGGGCAGAGGCATTTTTAAGGGAATTGCTTGCAGCCTTCTGAATTTATTGGGGTAATCCAATAATCCAAAGACTTTCAATTATGATATTTCAGTTCCCTGTGACTTGGAGGCAGATCCAGTGCAGAACATAGTTGCCCAGCCCTCAGAGCAGAACTGAAAGCATAAGACAAAGGGCCCAGGTCACAAGGAACTTCAAGCAGTTGGCATATGTGGGCTGGCACGAGTTCAGTTAGCCCACCGTGGCCTCCAGGCTATTGCTGTAAAGACTGTTTCTAGTAGCTGAACTAGCTCATCTGCAACCTGTTCAGACACTTTTGTCCACATATATGCCCTTATGCAAACAGGTGGATGCAGGATGAGCATCAGTTTCAGCAGATTTTCTGCCATTGCTTCCCACACATGCCTCATTGCATCATATAGTTCCCACCTAGGATTGGTGCAGCTCATGACTCCCACCAAAGCTGCTTAGGATGTGACTTCCCTACAGAGTAACTACGGAGAGGAGAAACAAAAAAAGAAAAAAGTCAAAAAAAGAAGAAAGTAATGCAGTTTGGAGGTGCTGCTGGCTCAGCAGAGAAGCTGCTGTGGAAGTGCTGTGCTCAGAGCATATGAAGAGAAAGGAAGGGAAACAAACTCCCATGAGGAAAAGACTGAGGAGCTACTTATTTTCAAGGCACATCTGTCTTCTAGAGAGTAGACATGTCTTCAAGCTCAAAGAAACTACCAGGGTGGAAAAGATGGAGGTAACGGGGGCTAGCACAGTTCCAGCTTAGTCCAGCATCATACTGAAGTTGGTTGTCTTTTTGAGGAACTAGCATTGAGAAATCATCAGTTTCCCCCATATGCCATTTCATTCCTTGCAAACTAAGAGGGACCTGATTGCTGGTTGTGAGCAGAATAAGAAAGAACATTGCCTCTGATGGTGCCAGTTTTGACAAAATCTTAAAGAATAACCAGATTTTCAGATAACAATTTAGATACTGTTTTATCAGTACCCAGATTTGTCTGGGTGCCTATGCAGTTTGGAATTGACACTACATAATGACTGTTTATGGCCTCCTGTATAAGCAATGTTCTGTTGCAGCAGTCGTGGTACAGTGGTACACAACCCTTGACAGAAGTTTACATTGCAGGTTTTAAACTCATGCCTGGGTAGCCCAGGCAAGAGCTAAAGGATCCTTGTGGTGCATCCCCTGGGCATTTGAAGTCACCCTTGCTGCAGTGTATGGAAGACTAAAAGTGAAGGGGTTTAAAGTGGCCCTCACTGCAGTGTATAGAAGACTGAGAGGGAAGGATTTGCAAACATTGCGCAATATTTTTCTTGATCTTCATAAGAACGTATGTTCATGCCAGTAACTATTTCTTACCTTGATTATCAGGGCTTAAGGTCTGAAATAATAAATAATCCACACCTCACCAACACCCAGTACAAAACAGGGAATCTTCAGTCACATTGACATCATTCTCCTGTTGGGAATGATGCTACTTTGGTGCATTTGGAATGGAAGACATACGACTTCATAAGTAAAATATTTAACAGCTTTTTCTGTGGTCATTAATGCCTTGATATTAGAAATACCCTCCTTATAGACCAAGACATTTCCAGTATCATTCATTTCCCATGCCAAATTTGTGGTTTGTGATGGAATTATACTTTTAAGAACATGGACTAGTGATGGAATTTCTCAGTTGTCACGCTAACTTTGTCCTGTTGGACAGAGAAATAAAAGAACAGTAATAAAACCCAAGTAGCATTCTCTAAACAAAGAAAATCAATCAAACGCTCTGTTTATTGATCCATGTTAGAAATCTCTATAACAGGCTCAGTGAGTGGACAGCTAGGTGAAGCATATACCTTATGGCCAGGCCTTTTAAAACACCCAGTTGTCGCATGATGCCACTGAAAGAAATTATACTCTCCTTATGCAACCTCACAGCAAATCTACCATCCTGTAGTGCGACACATTATCCTCACCATTTCTTCAAAAAAGGAGTGGGAACGGAAAAAGGATTTTCACAGCTGGCAATGTACATATTAGCTTTCATCAGGAGAATATAACGGTACTACTGAATAAGAAAATGTTACGACCTTGTTTAATTTTCTTGCCTTTTTTTTTAATGGAGCCTTTTCTCTTTGAATGATGGAATAAAATGGGGGAAGAGAAGACAAGTAAATATTTTCAGCCTTCTCAGCTGAAATCCATAATTACAGCTTATTTCTTTCTGGTTTCTGATATATAGATTTCACAGAGCTGATTGCAGGCTTCGGGAACTATTTTTGCCTTTTAAACTGAAGTATTTCAGGTTTTCTCTAATTAACCACTTGCAGAGTACATCACAGGCTTAGTGCCTACTCACCAGCCACATTTCTCATAAACAGATCTGTTACCACACTAAAATGAGGGCAAGAGGCCTTCTGCATTAATAGTTTATGAAGATAGCTAAATTACAGCTGACCATACAGTATTCTGGCTATGATGTTCTCTTAAGCCTCTCTCTGGACTCTCTTTTTCTGGGGGGACAAAGCCTCTTGAAGTGATGACACCTTCTCCTGGATGATAATAGACTGGTTGGTGTGGGACAGCAACATTTTGAAAAATAGCTGTAGGAAGTGCTTAGGCAACCTTCCTTATACGAAGCCCCAGCTAATTAAAAAAGAAACTTAGGCTTTCTTTTCCCCTTAAGGTGACAGAATTTTACAGCTAAAGAAACAAGACCAAAAAACACAGGAAGCAGAGCAGCTGTTACCAGGCAGCAGTTCAAAGGGGAGGAAAATGAAAAGCCTCTGATATATCCTCATGAAACTGCTCTGGAAGAAGATCTTCACACAGTTACCCACTTTTTTCCTAGTCCTTTTTCACCTGGTCAGTGTTGCTGCATGTTATTCATAAGATTCTAACTTCTTGGAGCAAGGTGCTGTCACCATTTTATCTTATACAGTGGCCAGCCCAAATTGTTTCTTAAAAACAAATGGTAAAACTGCGGCATTTCCTTCCTGTTTCTTTCCCTCCACTCCTTCTCCCCTCCTCTCTTCATTCCTCTGCACCTCCTGACATTTTTGTCACTTTCTGGATCCCAAGTTCTCATTCACCTCATTCTCTTGCTAATAATTTCTGCCCAGGTGCAGCCATAAGGCAAAACAATGGTGCAATACAAAAGGAAAGCTGTCAGGTAGACAAAAGTAGCATCAAAAAAGCAGTAGAGAAGGAGAAATTCTGTATCATTGATTGACAAAACCCTATGGCAGGCCATATGCATGCATTTACCATTCTAAAGAAGTAATCGTGCTTGCTGAAAGTGTTAGAAGGAAACTCAGACTTTGAAGGAATGAGTATTATTGTAATGCTCAGATGATGACCTGTATTATTTCAGCTAAACATGGCAGAGAACTGATGGACAGGTATTCCATAGACACTGGCATTTTCTTCACAGAATAGCTGTTTTCCTGTGTGTCATTTTATGTTTTGCATAATACCACATGAACCTCATTACTGCAGTTTGGAAGGTTTTGCACATTCACAGAAAGCAGCACAGGGAGAAGAGGAATAGTTTGATGCAATTTTCACATTGGCCCAGTGGATAATCAGAAGAGCTCTTCTATTATAAACACATGCAGAAAACAAACCATTATAAATCCTACCTACAACCCAGGGCCAATAAAAAAAACAAACCTAAAACTCCAACAATACAGGCTTCTGACAGTCATTGTTAACAGCTTAATAGCAGCTAGAAGGCAAGATCTGGTCTTATGTCAGGAGTACAAGGCACACAGCAGTTTGAAAGAAGGATAAATATGTAGTTATAGAAATTATATCTTCCTGAAATGATAAAAAACAAATAGAATAAATGACTGCCTACCTTGGAGAGCTTGGAGTGTACGAGTCTGTACAACAATACAGAGTTGCAGGACCAGCTGTGGTGCACTTTCCAGAAATGTGGCTAGCAAATGCAGCATACTCACATCTGCATACTCATACACCATTTTCCAATAAAACCTCCATCTGTCATTCTCTCCACTCTGTCGACTCCGGATGCCCAAGTATATTGTGTGGAAATACCTAGAAATAAAAGAGAGACATTATAGAAATGCAGAATGAGACTTTACAGGTAACACTTCTGCTTGAAAATTGCCAACATTTTTTCAATGTACTTAAAAATAATGAACATTTATTTAAAAGAATTATTGTATTGCAATGATAATAGTTGATGATGAGAGTAAGCTATACTGAAGACAGTTTCCTTCACAAAAAACACTTAAAAAGCTTAGCATTGTCTTATTAAATAGTATTTAAGAACTCAGTTTTCTGAACTGAAATATAAAAGGCATGTGTTGATCATGTGGCCTTCCCTCAGGTGTTTCAAATAATGGGTGAAAAAGGCTGATTCTGCAATGGTGTCTTCAAAGAACTCTTCTCTGAGCAGCTCTATGTGGACTTGGAAGACCACCTGCACTGCAAGCCAGGGGTGGTCTTAGCCTGAGGCTCTACTATGGCTGAGCTCATTGTCCTGTTTTTCCACCTAATGCATTGAATATCATGTTTCAGATACTGCCAAATATACAGTGCTTTTTCTCATAGTTTATTTTAGGAGGAGAGGAGATGTAGCTGTGAGTTCCTATTTTAGGAGGAGCGGAGATGTGATTGTGGGTTCCCTTGGTGATTAGAAATGACTCACTACGATAGCTCTCATGTAGCAGCAGCAGGGAGAAGAAGCAGAAGCCAGGAGCCCAACAGGCTGCTGCTGCTGGCAGTAGTAACCAGCAGTTGAGAGAAGTAATGGTCAGAAAACACGTCAGCTCTGATGGCCTGTGCAAGACTAGGGGGAGACAAACAGCGTTCAGCAAATTAAATAGATTTCAGTGGGTGCAGGAACAATGTGTGGTTTCAGAAAACACGGTATGTCTTCTGATGGCCAAGCTACCCATCTGCTGTGATTCTTTTCATGACCTTTGAAGAGCTTGCAGTGGTGTCCGATGACACACTTGTGCTACAGCACAACTGCTATGGGTGGCCGTTGATCTGCTCTGTTATTCTGATCTGCTGTCTGTTATTCTGTGTCAGGAATTTTAGGCTCCCACTAGGCTCCTACAATTTAAGTTCAAAACTAGTTAAGGCTGGCTGAAAAAAAGGTTCACATAATGAAAAATTCTGAAGATTAAGATATTGTCTTGTGCCAGGATGTCCTGCATCCTAACATGATGCCCTGTTGAGGTACTAACTGATGTGAATCTCTTTTTCTTCATGTTTTTCAGATCCTTGTCCTGAAAGCATTTCTTTCTGATCTTTTTGACATGATATCAAGCACCTTTTTTTCCTAGTGAAATTATATTTTCTAATAAGAATATTTGTAGCAAATTTTAACCACTAGCAATATATAATCATAGAACGGTCAGGGTTGGAAAGGACCTTAAGACCACTTACTTCCACCCCCTCTGCCATTGAACTGGTTAAGATCAAATGTTTCAGTATTTATCCTCCTTTTCACAATTTCTTGTCTTAAAATGCTCTTTATACCTGGTGGAGCATGGTGAATTGTATAATCTCTTTTTATATAGGCTGCATGCAACCTTTCATCCCTCTTTTGTTTAGCTGTAACTGCAGGTATCTTCTGCTTCTGAGAACATATTTGACCTCTGACTGGCAAACAGCTCAAGACTCACTTGTCCCCTTGAAGAATAACTGTTGTGCTTTTACCCACAGAACCCTTGTACCCAATGCACATGCCACCACAGAGCAACGGCTTTACTCAGGAATACGCATCAAAAAAACCCCAGGGAGTAGCAAAGAGAAACAGCTGAGAGGCCAGATCTGAGACTGCAGCATTTCTCTTGACAATGCACATCATAGCAATATAAAAGGAAAACACATTAAATTCACATTTAAATTAAAATCACACCAGGTGGCTTTGAATTTTATGAAAGTCCCACGTGGGAGTGAAGCAGCAATGAAGCACTCGGAGGCGAGACCACAGAGGTAACAGTAAACAAGACAGCAGCCCTACCTCTCCTGCAAAACACTGAGCAGGTCTAAATGGGTCAGAATATGATGGGATAACTGGGGCTTTCCAGTGTCCTCAGGGTTACTGAAGTGAAATGGCCTGCTGCCCAGATACGAAAGAAGTCACTGAGCTGGAAAGGCAACTTTTGCAGTGCAGTTCTGCTAATGGGGTCCATTGGACCCTCAGGTTCTTAGTCACAATCAGTTCAATTGTTCCTAGACCTCTCATTAGAGTTCTGCAGCACAACAGGGACAGGTAGGACTTCTGCAGTTTGGGGTTTGGGTGGGGTTGGTTTGGCCTGCCTCACATGTCCTCTCAAGGAGCATACCTGGGAATACTGCACATAGCGCAGGCACAAAAGCATCTTCAGCATCCTCCTTTCGAGATATCACTAACCCCTGCTATAAATACCTAAAGTAGCTTTGGCTGCCTAGGATTGTGCCAGAAGGCTCTAGCTCTGCCAGTGGAGCCATCTGCAACTTGAGTTCTACAGCATTTGTGCAAAAAATACTTTTCCTATTGCTGTGCCAGGCAAGGTCCCCTGGGGTTCTTTACCTGCTCTGCAGAGTGGTTGTGCATGGCAAATATGTTGTGATTAATGAACCCATATGGAAATATTTCCTCTCCCATTGCACTTTATCGTGAAACAGTGGCAGTGAGTTATTGGGGACAAGGGAATCGTTGCTCTTTGCCTACTCATCTCTCTGCAGTTTAGACACAAGAAGCAGAGGAGGAAGATACTTTCTCTTTTAATGCACTGGGGACCAAATTTCAGGGTACAGTGAGTGGTATTTCTTTCTGTCCTATCAATTTTGGCCAAATTAATTGCAGGTTGAAATGAGCATTTACACACATAATTAATGTCACTGATTTATAGGCACAATCAGGTGATTAGACAGCTAAACATTCTCATTTACATCCACAATTAATTGCACCAGCAATTGATGTTAGGTGTGCAAATTAGCAGTTATTAAAATAGAAAGATGGTCTCGTAAAAAGCTTCATATATCAAAGACACCTTTTCCCCAGTAATATAGAATTAAAAAAAGAAAAAAAAAAAAAGGAGAAAGTGCCTTTCTTAAAAGGAGAAAGTGCTTTTCTTGTTGTGGTTTCCAAATATAGCTTAACACTGCAGTAATGACACATTCCCTTTTTTATATATATATATATATATATGCATTATGTAATTTCATCTTAGACACCCTCACTGGAGGCCTATTGTTAGCATATGCTATACAGACACATTCAGAGGTAGTTCCTGCCCTGAAGAGATTTTATATTTTGGTCTTCTGGTATCATTTGGGTGGAAACTCACATTTTTCTGTGACTCTATGTTGAGACTCTTGTGTACAGATATTCCAGAAAGATATAGAAGAAATAATAACAGCTCTGCATTGGAAAATATCTTAGGTTCACTGTAAGGCAAACTGATGCCAATGAAGCTGAAATACCAGATGCGTATGTTATTGTCTTGGTTGTGACTGCATCCAGAGGCCTCACCTACAGTCTTCTAGAGGTGCTTTACAAATATACAGAAACTGACTATCCATTTCCCCAGAAAGTATTTAATTGGGATCAAAAGAAATGACAAGGAGTGAAGAAGTTAGAACACCAAAAGAGAGGAAAAAAAAGAGGAATGGGAAGTATGGTAACACTACTGCCATCTAGTAATGCCACTACTTCATCTCATAAATCAAGAGAGTTCATTAAAGTTTCTGATTTCACTAGAAAAGTAAAAAACAAATAGAAAAGTCAACCCCCCCAAAAATCCATAATTTCATAGCTCTTATGTTTGTGGAGAAAAGCTTAGAAGTAACTGAGTTTCCTAAAGATTTTAAAGTTAGAACTGTGAAATGCACTATGAAAAAAGCAATATAAAATCTTATTAATGTAAAATTGCTCCTCTTATTTTTTTCTAAAGAGAGACCATTGCTTGGGTTGTCAATGCTGATATAAACAAGCTTACTATTCAGAATGACATCAATGGAGTAGGAAGCAATTATATTGCTGATAATCAGATGGCAACATAGGTATCATGATTTGAGGCTTAAGGTCTTTTCTGCCCTCTGGAGGAAGTGGAGAATGCTTCAGCATGTAATTAATTTATATCAGTACATTATATAGCACAGTATACAGACAACTGAGAATGCATAACCCCAAAGGATATGGATCTGAGACAAGACGACTAGTGACATTCTTTTTCTGTTATACTGAGAGAAGGCAGTAAAGTAAGAAACAAACAGAAAAGCAAGCTAGTCCTTGCACTGCCCACAAGTGTTGAAGATGCAAGTCAAATAGAAGCAAAAAGTTACCTGTATTTGTAGCTCTTGAAAAAAAAGTATTTCTGGTTCTCAGGAAAAAGATACTAATTCTGATGAGACAGTGGCTCTCCAGGGTTTCCAAAGTGAAGAATTCTCATTTTGCTTCAGGTTTACATACAATCTTGAGGATGGTCAGCACAGACTGATACCTACATTTGAAATACTTCTAGTGACACTTCAATTGCATGATTAAAGCACGCCCAATTGTGCATTTAATTGAGATGTGGTAGTGTAATTATATGATAATACCAAATATTTATGGGACTGCTTTCCAAGTTTAAAATGCTTTACAAACGTTAATTGATTAACTGGGATGAATGTAAATGATCTCAGAAGGTTCATTCCCCAGGAACTGGCAGCTGACCAACCTAATACCTGCCTGAAGGAACAAGGTATAGTATAGCTTTTACTTAGCAGACTCAAATCCAGGTGAGATTTCATAAACTCATGGTGGGATAAGTTTTCCTTTTCTTATGTGCAGAAAAATCTCACTTTTCTCCCTTATCCTTAGAAATGTGATATTCTGTCCTAAATCTGTGGATAAAAAACTCTTCCCCAGCTCCTAAATATAACCTGACTATCCACTCTTTTATAAAAGGCCTTTGGTGAATACGCTGGTATCACTAAAACTGAATAGGCTTTTGGCACTGACTTAACAGAGCTTGGGATTTTACCCAGTTCACTTTATAGTAGCTGGGTGTCACTTATGCTCATTACTTCTCTCTATGAAATGCTTTGCA